GCTCCCCACGTATGCAATCCCCTTCCTTACTATACCCCTCCCCCGTGCACAGCCCCTCTCCCCACATATGAAATCCCCTTCCTCACTATACACCCCCATGTATGCAACCCCGTGTGCACAACCCCCTATATACACCAGCATGTGTGCGACCCCCCGTGTGCACATGTGCAATCCCCTCGTGTGGAGTCCCCTTCCCCACTGTCTACACCAGCACGTGTATACCCCCCCACATACGTGTGCAGCCCTTTCCCCACGCTATGGAGTCTGTGTGCAAACACCTTTGTGCACAGTCCGCTCCACCGGAGGATATGCAACCCCCCAGTGCGCGCAGCCCCCTTTCGCACCATATCCACCCGCCCAACCCTTTCCCCACTACTGGTAACCTATTGTATGTGCAGCCCCACGTGTGCAACCTCCTTCCCCGGGTGTACAGAACCACCCAGGCGTACCGCCCCCATCCCATAACAACCTCCCGCTCTACCACACCCGCCTCTCATGTAACGCTAGGCCCGCGTATCGGGGGAAGCGGGGCCCAGCAATAAGTCGGGGGGGGGCACAAAGCTCCCCCCCCCCGGTGCCCTGGGTCTGCTCTCCAGACTCCATTCCTCCCACTCCCCCCTCGGGCGTCCGTGTGCCTCCCCCACGCGCGTAACCCGCCCTCCCTCAGGCACTGGGGGCAGCCGCACGCGCACACTGCGGCGCGGCGTCCGACAGACGTTACAACTGGCCCCGCCCGCGAGCCCAGTAGCGTCTGTTCCTCCTCGCGGCGTATGCGTCGCGATTCATCCAGCCCGTGAGGTCACAAACTCTATTTGTCAGGTGACGGAAACTAGTCAACGCCCCTCCCGGACTGTGAGCCGGGCGCACGCGCAGTCTCGCTCCCGGAAGTCTCCCGTTCCCAGGGAGCAGGAAGCGAGCAAGCGCGGAGGGCGGCGCAGGCACGGAGTCGGACCCTGCCATGTCGGCCTACGACACCAATCCGTTCGCCGACCCGGTGGACGTGAACCCCTTCCAGGTAGGAGAGCGCGTCCGGGCCGCGCGGCTCCCCGTCCCCTGCCCCACAGCCGGGACGTGGCGCTGAGTGAGGGGCCGCCTGCCAATGGTGGGGCCGCTTTGACCCGCGCCGCCCAATCAGGAGCGAGAGGGCAGGACTGATGGGGGTGTAGGGGAGGCCCGATCCTGTGGGGCTGTGCCAGCGCGTTGGGAGCCCCACGTCTGCGACGCGTATCGGGGGAGTCGGGGCCCAGCAATAAGTCGGGGTGGGGGCACAAAGCTGCTCTGCCCTCCCCCCCCAGTGCCCCGGGTCTGCCCCATCTGCTCTCCAGACTCCATTCCTCCCACTCCCCCCTCGGGAGCCCCTTGGCCCGTGCTGCACCCTCCCCTAGCGCCACAATCTGCCTGGTGCGTACTGCTTGTGCGCTCCCCTCTCCGGTCTGTACAGTCTGCGGGGCCTAGTTCACCCGCCCAGCAGTGCCATGCACCTCACCTGCCATGCAACTCAGAGCCCCCCTTCTTGCAGCCCTAACCCAGCAGGACACTGCTCCAAGTCGCAGTCCTGGGTTAGGGCATGCCCGGTGGGTTGGGAGAAGTAGGCACTGGCTGGGACAGTGACGGGCTCCTGGTTTTGCTAGTGGTTCCAGGTGCAGCTCCCATTAGCTTTTCTGGGTGTTGCAACCATGGCAGGATTAGGCCTTAGTTGTCATACACAAGTATAGCTAGGCCAAACGTTTGAGAACCACTGATCTAAATTAATCTGATAACACATTATTTGTATTACTGCCCCTGCTGAGAGGAGAGCCTCCATTGTGCTTTCTGGTATTACATACACGTAAGAGATGTTCTCTGTTCCAAAGAGCTTACAATCTAAATAGACCAGACAGACAATGCGTGGGAGAAAAGTAGTAATATCACTCCTGTTTTACAGAGAGTTAAGCAACTTGCCCAGGGTTATGCAGGAAGTCTGTGGGAAGAACTGAACTCAGGTCCCATGTATTAAACACAAGATTGTCCTTCCTCTTTTACCTTCTTGAAGCTTATCTTGGGAAATAGTCTTTATTAAGAACAGACACTGTATTTCAAGTGCAGCTGTGTCCTGTGGCCCCTTTTCGGAATGATCACTGTCTCTTTGTATTTCAAGGGCTAGTGGTTCCCAATCTTTTTGAGCAACTATTTCCACTTATTAGGTTAATATGTTGGCTGTATCAGCCAGTGCCTGCTGTCTCCCATTCAGTTATGCTGGCAGTCACCCACCATATGGTGAAAATAAGGTTTGTAACTGGCCAAGCAGAGTCGTGGATACCTTGTGCCACATTCTCCACTTACTGTAACCAGTTCTACATTGGAGCGTACACAGCAGTGTGAGTGAGAGGAGAATCAGGCCCATTGAATGAGTGTGTGCAAGTGAATGGGAGTCGGTCGTGGGACAGTATTAGGACGTAGTATCGAGGTTCATGGTGTACCAGCATTGCCTGATCTACGTGCATATTCTTGTGGTAAATGTGCATACCATGCTCTTGGTTCAAAGAGCGCACACTTTCTTTCTGCAGAACTTATTCTAACGAGTGAATGAGACATTAAAATCTCTCTGGATGTACATGACATGGTGTCAGTTACTGTGGTACAGGAAGCTCTAGCAACACTGGATTGCAAGTGTCAGGACAGAGTTGTAGATGTGTTAAATATTCCTCTCAGATAGTTGCATTGCTGTACTGTGGCATAACAACTGTTGGTTTGTTTCACATTCTGTGTTGACTTGTGCAATGTTATGTCCATATGCTCTAGAGGGGTCCTTCTCCTCTGGCAATACTGCTCAGCATACAGAGTTAAATGCATACTCTAACAGAGGTTTAGCCTTGACAGCCTAAGAGAAAGGACTTCTTTCTGAGGTGCTTTGGGATCCTGCCCACACTCTTGTTGCCTGGATTCTTTCTATGCTGAGTTGATGTCTGTGTGCGCTGTCTTACAACCTGCATTTATTTACCTAGGGAGTTGGTGGGAGCTCCAAAAACAGTCTGTTGACCCTGAGTAACATGGCTGTAGATGTGAAGATGGATGTTAACACTTCACATTTCAGAAATCTAAAAAAAGTTCTTTACCTTTATTACATGACAGAAAAGTATCAAGGCATAACAGGAAGCTGTATCTTGGTGCATATCCTCTTATTTTATGTACAGCTTTTATGGTATTGAAATCTGGTGAGCCAGCAGTAATTAAAATCTTAATAACAAAAGATTTTGATTTCATTATAAAGCCAAGGGGAGTAGGAAGCAGAAATAATCTTGTGCATACCCAAGTGAAAACAGAAATATTTGCTGGGGTGTGTTTGAGAACTAGAAGTGGCTCGTGATTTTTTTTTATCACCTTTATTGGGCAAATTTAGTGGCTTGGAAATATGGATATTGTCCATTTGCATACTGGGGGCACGTAAATACTCTGTTGGTTTGTGCATCATCATGCTGCCACAGAATCATTGACCAGACCGGGCTGTGCTTGAGTTTAGCCCATTGTTCAAACAATAAGATAGATATAATCTAGAGCCAGGTGACTCTAGGATGGCAGTCTTCTACTTTTTTTTTAATAATCCACGTAAAGCAGGTGAGAGAGGAAGTCAGAGATGTGTATGTGTGCTGGGTGTCTGCCAAAGGAATGCTTTCCATTCCTGATGAATAACTTCAGTTTCTTACATTCCTTCTTTCCCTGCAGTCAAAATTAGCTTAAATTGTCTGTTTTTTCCCAGTGGGGTTCTTATTCATCCACTGTGAGGCTTCTTGGGGGGGGGGGGGTTCTGTCTCATGTGACTAGTATAATATAAACTTTTCTGGACATGCTGTGTCTAATGTAGTGAGCAAGCTGGGGGAAAAGATTTCTGATCACTTGTCCACGGGCGGCTGAGGCTTCACATTTGGTTGTCTGACAAGAAAATGTGCTCATCCTAATTTTAAGTCTGGTATCATTAAGTAAACTAAAACAAAATATTGTAGTGTGACTGTAGCAAAGAATTAAGTCACTTTTTTCTAACACTGAACAAAGAGCTTTATTGCAATTAGAAAAATAGCATTATCACTTAAGCTTGTCTGTAACTTCTGCCTACAACTTTCCCCAGCCCTCATCCAACCTGATTTCCTATTACAGATTTAAAGCAAGGGTACAGATATCTTCACAGTTGTTGCTGTAGTTGTCTAAGGACATTTCTTTGCATCCTGCATGTTCTATTTTGGACTGTTGGGTCAGGGTTTCTCATTCATGTTCTCTGTTTTCTAAAGTGAGTGATTCTCACTTGAGTTTATGTTCAGTTTTGTGTTGCTTTAATATACATGAAAATGCCACTGCCACCAGCCGTCTGATGGACTCAGAAGAGAGCCTATGTAATTTATTTCAATTTCAAGTAAAAACTCTAATGGCTAAATAACTCTATAGACATTAGAGAGACAAGGTGGGTGAGGTAATATCTTTTATTGCATCAGCTTCTGTTGGTGAAAGAGACAAGCTTTGGAGCTACCCAGAGTTCTTACACAGAGCGCAGATCTGAAGAGAGATCTGTGTAACTTGAAAGCTTGTCTCTTTCACCAATAGAAGTTGGTCCAGCGGAAGTTATTACCTCACCCACCTTATTTGTCTAATGTCCTGGGGCCAACACTGCTACCACAACACTGCAAATAGCTATAGATGTTGTCCATCTGATTTGAAATCTAGATCATGGTTATGCAGAATAGCACTAGTCCAGTTTGGCATTTTGACAATTCACATATTGCGTTAATGGGCCAATTCTTTATCATACTTTTAATCCCTTAGCCAGTATGTGGATTCAAATAATTGAAACCAGGTATATGATGGTGGTGGTTGCCCGATAGTAGCTTCGGACACGTAGTCCCGAATTTTCTGCAGCTTTGCCCCTGAAGCCCCAGCAGTGTATTTACCCTTTGGGTTTGTCATGCCGAAGGATACATTTTGGGCCTCAGGAGTCAGGCTCAGGACTGTCTATTGCTCTGGTTTCTGCACAGCACTTCCTAGCTCTTGCAAACCCTCAAACAACAAGGTATCTTTTCCTTGATAAGTAGGAGATTTAATTCATAGTACTGAGAAGGTCAGTCGTGAAATGCACTGTACACTCACAGATGTGCCTGATTTGATCTCCTGAAATCTGACTCTGTTTCTGTGGTATATTCCACATAAATGACAGCCAAATGACTTTTGCTAATTGCCCCGGCAACCCAGTATACATGGCAGATAGCGTCAGCGTAGCACATGTTTGCCTCAAAGGTGTAGATAAGAGCTTGAAGTCTCCAGCATCCTTCGGGACCTAAAAAATAACATTTAAAATTATAGTCAAAATAAATTCAAATTTCTTAAGAGGGTGGGATAATCTTTTGAGATACAGAATAGCAAGTGCAAGATTGTGACTGATGCCACGGTCAATAACAGCATGAGGAGGCTTTTGCCTTTACTTGAGCTTACGCACTGTCTACATCAGGGGTAGGCAATCTATGGCACGCGAGCTGATTTTCAGTGGCACTCACACTGCCCGGGTCCTGGCCACCGGTCCGGGGGGCTCTGCATTTTAATTTAATTTTAAATGAAGCTTCTTAAACATTTTAAAAACCTTATTTACTTTACATACAACAATAGTTTAGTTCTATATTATAGACTTCTAGAAAGAGACCTTCTAAAAACGTTAAAATGTATTACTGGCACGCGAAACCTTAAATTAGAGTGAATAAATGAAGACTCGGCGCACCACTTCTGAAAGGTAGCCGACCCCTGGTCTACATGAACACCTCCACATTCAAGCCAGCCAGTTGAGATGTGGGCTCTTCCGCCTTGATCTCCACAACTCCTAAAGCTGTCAGAATCACAAAGGTAATAAATCAGCTGACCCAGATTCCAGGTCTTACCAGAAGAGAGTACAAGTTTCCTGTCCTGCACAAACCTGATGTACTCTAATTCTTGCTCAGCCACAGAAGTTTTTGGATCCATCAGCTAGCACAGTAATAAAACTAGCTTTTTGTATGTATTTGTGAGGCTTGCCTTTAAAACAAATACACAGTCTTTGCAACTGAGTCTCTAAAAGCTTTTTAATCTGTGTTAGTAGAGTTTGGTCCAAGATCAAGGCCATTTGGGGCTTGCAAACTGCAGCGTAATGTAAAGAACTAAAATCCTTTTTTATTGACAATATATGGAAAGCTAAACAAGTAAATCTGAGTCTCCTCCATGCATCTCACAGAGCAATCTAGTAATATGCTTCTTGTGAACAAAGTGACACCATTTGCTTCCATGCGTTTCACGTGAGCAGCATGTGGGGAATGAAAAGCTCTTACTCTCGCTTCAACGGACTGACATTATCAAATTCTTCTTGTACTTTCTGGGAACTACCAAGAATTTCATCTTTCGGATGTGAAACCTAGGGATCGCTTACAATGACTTCTAGAAAGTGTTTGCTAAATCAGCAGCTCCCAAACTTTATTGGTTCACATACCACCTTAAATAATTGTCAGGTGAATTGATGGAACATCAAACTCAGATACCCCAGTTTGGGAACCCCTGGTGTAAATATCTCATACTTTTAACAGGTTTTAACAATGCTCCACTCTGCCATGTGCTTTAGGCTTATAGGAGCCAGAGCCCTCAGTAGTATCCTCTGCCTGAGAGCTTTTTCCCCCTAAAACCCAAACACATTGCAGTTTATTTTAGATCAGCCAAGTCTTCACATCTATAGTTGTTAAACAACTCTGATCTGCAAATTAAACTGCCTGGCCCTGGGAACCACAACTAAGTATGCACTTTTTAAAGGCTATAAAATAATATTAAAAGTCATCTCTCTCTCTCTCTCTCTCTCAAAGTCGACTCAAACTGTTTTGCAGCAGCAAGTGATCAAAATTGTAGCTTTTTACTGCAACTCCGAATCTATGCTGAAGCAGCTCAGTTCTCTTTGCAGCACTGCAGCCCCTCCAGCCTTGGGTGGGTGACAGGAAACCCAACACTTTTTACTGCCCAGATAGGGATTCTGAGGTATAGGAAGTTTTTTCCAGCTGGATAGCTCAGGTTCTTTGAACAGTCTTACCTTCCCATACTCCTAAAAACTTTGTTCCTGATGTGGTAGCCATCTGTTGGACCTTATAGTTAGTTTGTGTTAGCTGTTAGAACATGGCAGCTACCATGTGCTAACTAACATGTTTTAAAAGTCTAGTGTAGACAAGGCATACTGCCTTCAAGGTGTGTAAAACTGGTCAAGTTAAAGTGTGGGGGGAGCTAACACATCCTCATGTTACACCTAAGTCCTAGTCTAGACAAGAATCCATGTCATCTGGAAAGGAAAGACAAGTCAGAAACCTTTGTTTTTCCTTCTCCTGGTAGAAGCTGACCAGATTCTTGTTAGCTTCACTTTGCTACTTGGGAAAGCCATGAACAGACGCAGAGAGGGTAGGACTACCTGTCCATGCACTCAGGAAGACAGCACTGTCAGAGTTCACGTGTGGAAGGTTTTCTTAGGATTACAAAGGAATAGGAATTGAAACTTTGATTTTAAAAAAGGTTAAATGCTGCAGAAATTGATGGCTTAGGCTCCTTCCTTCCCCCAACCCCTCCAGCTCTCCAGGGCATTTGTGGTTAAATCCAGTGAAGGTGGATTGTCAGCACACTTGGTTAAACTGGTGCTTTTCTTCCACATGTGCTTCACCCTAGGGATCATGACTAGAACATGCACCCTTTGTTCTGAGAATCCCCTGCCTGCAGAATTGCTGACATATATAGATTCCCTGGAATGTTTCTGCAACCCTATTCTGCCTGGTGAATGCAATTCAGCATCTAAGAACCTGTGCCTGTTTCTGAGACTTCATCCTGGAGTGATTCATAAACTTGTGTAACCAGTTAGGCAGGGAGTGTCTAATCTCTAGGGATGTCTAAAGTTACTCATTAAACGGAGCTTTTTATACACATTTGATCAGAAAGCTGTACTGGGAGGCAAGAGACCTATCTACAGTATGTTTGAGACAAGTCAACTGGCTTTCCCAGGGTTTACAGCTCTGACGTTATGGAGCTTACCCAACAGGAAACTTGACCAACCTTTACATATCTGAATCCGCTCTTCCTCCTCCCCTGCCCAGCCTAGCAATTACTTTTTGCCCCATAACAAAAATAAAATGGCTTGTGCTGATAGGTTGGTTTCTGGAGAGGAGAAAGCACCTTCCGTAAGCACAGCTCCAGAGATAAAATTACATGGCTGTTCCGTTTGTGAGCAAGGCTTCTACAGAGAAGCAACTGTACCTCATTCTACCTTTGGGAGAGAGAATGCTTCAAGGTCAGCAGCAGTCAGTGTCTGGCTATTAAAGGGAGAACCTTTAGCAAAGCACAGCCTTGCTTTATATACCTGCTTTCATACAAACTGCATCACACGAGACTTGGGTTAAATAATGTGCAACAGCGGGAGGAAGAAAGTTGTCTTCAGAAGAGATACAGGGAGGTTTTGCATAGCAGTAAGGTTACGAGAAGGGACCAAAGGGAGACTGGTACTGAGTGGAGGAAGGAGAAACTGACTCTCCAACTGAAATCTGGGTTTGAACCTACGAGTATGATAGTGTGTTCAGTTAACCTGAAATCGTAGCCTCACTCTTCATAGCTTTTTTGCCTTGTCAGAATGGCGGCTTTGGGAGATAGTTCAGTGGTCCAGAAGAGGGCTGCATGAAAGCAGTTTGTGGTAGCTGATGTCTGTCACCTAGCATACCTTTCTACCTGAAAACCTGTTCAGCTGCACTCTGCTGCACTTGATTGAGACTCTGTCATCCTGAGGGCACTGGAGCCTTATGCGAAGGCAGACTGCAGCGTCATCTCAGCATGGACTACCAGTTTCTTCAGCTTTACAAAAGGCTTCAGGGTAGCTGTTATCTAGTGGGTAAAGTTCAGGGATGAGAGGAAATCTGGGTCCTAGTTGCAACTGTGCTGAAGACTGATCTCGGGCAAATTAATCTCTCTCTGCCTCAATTTCACTATCTGTAAACTAGGTAAAAAGCACTAAGTGTTTGCCACGTGGTATTGTTTTCGGAAGCTCTAATCAGTCTCTGGTTTTGTTTAACTTGACAAATGTAAGGAACATGTGGAACTGGTTGTTTAGAGGCTGTGCCTTTTTTCCCCTTTAACTCCTACCTTTCTCTTAAGCGCCTTTCCCCTTTCTCTTTCAGGATCCCTCAGTGACACAGCTGACACATGCTAACCAAGGCGGCTTGGATGAATTCAATCCCTTCTCTGAGAACTCCCGGCTTGTATGTGTCTCATGTGATTGCACAAAATATCTACATACCTGTTGTATCAGGCACCTGGGTCCCTTGATAGAGGGGACTATAAGATGAATGAGGCATTCATAGATCTGTCCCTACTGGACAGTGACCGTGTTACATGCACAATACACTTCTCATGAGACCCCCAAGAGCAGAGCACTGGTGATCTGCCTGCAGGAATTCTCACGGCCAAAGCAATCCCAAAGTGTGAAACAGAACAAGTCTCATGCCAAGGGACGTAATTAGGGCCATACCAAATTCGCAGTCCATTTTGGTCAATTTCATGGTCATGGGATTTTTAAAATTGTAAATTTCACGGTTTCAGATATTTAAGTCTGAAACTTCACAGTGTTGTACCTGTGGGGATCCTGACCCAAAAGGGGGCCATAGAGGGCGTTGCAAGACTATTGTAGGGGACTCGCGGTATTGCCACCCTTACTTCTGCACTGCTGCTGGCGGCGGCTCTGCCTTCAGAGCTGGGCTCCTAGCCAGCAGCTGCAGAGCTACCTGCAGCTGGGGGAGGTTCCCAGAGATAGGTCTGACCTGGCCCTGGGAGCGACCCCTATAGGGGAAGAGGAAGTCCCATCCTTCCCCAGCCTGGCCGGGACTAGTATCCAGAGCACGGTAAGAGCCCCCAGCCCGGCCCCTCCTCTACACTAGCCAGATTTCACAGGGAGATCAGATTTCACAGTCCGTGACGCATTTTTCACAGCCATGAATTTGGTAGGGCCCTAGACATAAGAGTCAAGATCAGTTTCTCTGTTGGGAGAGGGATTACTGCTGTGATATCAGTGCCAGCTGGGTGGTTCGGAGCAGCAGTGACCAGCTCCAGTACTGTTGTAGGTACAGGTATGGAGTAGCAAGCAGGGACGCTGGAGAAAACCAATAATCACTATTTAAACAGTAGATCAAAGCGCCATTGGTCTCTTCTCTGGCATGTGATGTTACCCATAATACTTGGGAGGCATCAGTCTCCATACAGTAAAACCTCAGAGTTATGAACACCAGAGTTACGAACTGACCAGTGAACCACACACCTCATTTGGAACCGGAAGTACGCAATCGGGGAGCAGCAGAGACAAAAAAGCAAATACAGTACAGTGCTGTGGTAAAAGTAAACTACTTAAAAAAAAAAGGGGGGGGGGGGGAAGCAACATTTTTCTTCTGCACAGTAAAGTTTCAAAGCTGCATTAAGTCAATGTTCAGTTGTAAACTTTTGAAAGAGGTTCTGACAGATGGTTCAGAAACAAAAAATAAAGATGCTTATGCAGGATGGTGCCTGGTGTTCCTGGGACTCCAGGCCTGCCTTCCAGTTTGGCACACACCTACTTGAAGGCACTTGGTGTTCAGTGGTTCCCAGAGCTAATTGAAGCAATGTGTGTAATGCTCATTTGCTGTGTAACTCTCTTTGTCTAGACAAATGGAGCTCAGACAGTTCCAGCAACGCAGCCTGCTGGCCCTTCGCAACCCGCTGTCCTACAGCCATCTGTGGAACCCACTCCACAGGTAGTATACCCAGCCACCACCTTTCTGCTGAATGTCTGGAGAGCTCACACCGTGGCTTCCACTAAGCAAAACTGTTGGAATACAAATGAGCCTCTATGCATTTTACAGGCCATCAACAAGACTTTTCTATAGGGATTGGATTCATTTGGGTGGGGTATGGGAGGCTGCAGCTGACCAACTCTGCCGTCATTTGTATTTATTACATTGATTGGCATTGCAATGGGGAATATTTAATAGCCTTGTAAATAATTCAGAGAAGTAGACAATGTAAAGCCCCCATGTCTTTCCCTCTGCTACTGAACCTGACTCTGTTTTTTGTCCCATTCTGCTTGGCCTTCTCGCACAGTGCCACCTATAACTTGTTAACGGTGTTAGCTTAGTTTCAGGGAGTGAACAGCCACACTCTGCTCTGTGAGTGTGGACACAGTGCAGTTGTGTGTTGCAGCTGCTGCTTAGACAGGCCAGCAAGTACCAGCCGCCCAGGTTCATCTCAGCGAGCAAGAATTCAGAGAGACAGAGGCTGCTAGAAGATTTCAGTTCTCAGAATAGCAACAAGGTAAAAGAGATCCAGGGGAAGGTAGGCAAAGTACAGAGAAGAGAGGGGGCTTCACTGCCTTTTTCTTGGACCTCCAAAATCTCCTGTCCCAGGTTGGGAGTTCCCTCTCTTTAGACTCTGAGTGCTATCGCCATACTCCGTAAACCCCAGGAGCCCACTCTCTATTCCCCTTCATTGTAAGGACCTCTTAGCTTTGCCTTTACCCCTCACCCCCTGAGCAGACTTGGGCTCCTGGCTCTTGAAACAAATTGGTGCTAATTTGGAAAGGATCCAAAACGGATAACGAGAGAGACTCTTGGGGAGAGGGAGTTTTTATCTTGTTTGTTTTGTTTAAATTATCTTAGTGCTGGTGAAAGGTCCCAGATTAGCAGCTCTGAAGCCCTCTAGTTATCCATGGCCGGGGGGGCGGGGCAGCAGTGCAAGCTTTCCCCACCAATATGCCCTTTTAAGGAGGAGACTGTCTTCATGGTTCATTCAGCCTTTGCCCTCTCTGCTGAGTGTCAACTGGGGAAGGGGGTCATGGTGTGGGTGTTTGTCTCCCTTCATTCCCTCGTTGACCAGCAACACATTTCAGAGACCACAGAATGGATTTCAGGGGAAAGTGATTCAGTCATAGCTGGTCTGGGCTGAATTTAAACCCAAAACCTAGAGCTGAAAGCCTCTAGGAGACCCAGGAAGAAAGCATAACAGCTAAACTAGAGCAACAAAAGGATATTGGCCCAGAAGCACCTGCCAAGGTATTAACACACAAGCCTCTGGGCATGCTGGAATTTTCAGTAGTTAATGTGAGGACAGCAAAAAGTAATGGCCTCAAACGAAGAGGAAAAGTAGAATAATTTGCCAGAGAAGCCGTGGAGTCTGAGCCACAGGATCTGTTCTGTGCCCAGCTTTTAAACTGTCTCTTGGAGGAGCCCCTTTAGCGTGGCAGAACCCCAAGGGATCCCACTCCTTCCTTGAGGCTTGGTCATGCAGCCTCGCCATCTAGACTGAGTGTCTAGGCTCCAGCCCTCCTGTTTCACACCATGAGCTCTGCCTAGCGAGTCCAACTGAAGTAGACCGCATAGAGACTTGTCCACTCTTCAGGGACTAATGCAGTATTTGCCCAAGCCAGTATTTGCAGTGACACCCAAGCAGCATTTTCAGAACAGAGTAGGATTTTTCAGTCAGCTGGAACACGGCCCTGGAAGTCCCTAGGTTAGCATAGAGAAATGAAGGTTAAAGCTGAAACCGTTCTGGCCAAGACAGTCCGATTCACAACCAAGCTGTAGTGAGCTCCATTTCAGGCTCTCTCTCTCTCTCTCTCTCCCTGACCTCCATAGTCAGTCCCAGGAGAGCAGCCAGAACCAGAAGCCCACACTGTATTCCTTGCTGGTCACCTCCCAGTCTTTGTTCTTCAGGCAGGGCTATGCATGAGTCATTGAAGCTTGAACTGTCTCTCTGGACCCCTTGTTAATCTGAGTCGATTTCAAATAGTTCCTTACCAACTCCATTCCTCCCAGAGAAGCGAGGTGACACATACACCTGTCTCCCCTATGCAGTTCCAGCAGTATTGTTAACCCTTTTCCCCCCCATTAGGTAGCCATGCAAAGTAGAGAGGGAAACTGAGGCGCACACAGGCTTCATAAAAATATTCCAGAAGATTCCCACTTTGTCAGAGTCACCCTCACAGAAGAGTTGGGCAGTGAGAAGGGAACTGCTGGTGGATTCTGTAGAAATCTATTACTAACATCCTACCACAATGCAGGCAGAAAGCTGAAGGAGATCTCAGACCAACCATGAATGTTCTGCTTCTCAGATGTCCTCAGCCTTCTGAATGTTGCTGGAACGCTCATTAGTGTGTGTGCATCCCCTCTTCCCTTAGGAAGGGACCCTCTCCCCACTGAATGGCTCTTTGGTTCTGATTGCTTTTCGGTGACTCTCCATGCAGGCTGTAGCCTCAGCAGCCCAGGCTGGACTCCTTCAGCAGCAGGAGGAGCTGGAGAGGAAAGCAGCGGAGCTGGAGAGGAAGGAGCGAGAGTTGCAGAATAATGCAGCAGCCTTTAACCGTGAGTAGTGTTTCTTTCCCTATCTAAGAATCCTTTCTGTGCGTCACACCTGTCTAAGCCCGAGTGTACAAGAGTTCCCCGTCCTGTGCATTCTGCAGGGTGTCGGACCCCATTATATTGTCCTGGGGCTGAATTTGAATGAGAAACGTCTAAGTGTCACAGCAATGGAAACCTGCACACACTGTTTTAATGCAATTCTGAGGCATCCCACAAGTGGGAGAGTGATAAAAGCTAAAGGCTGGGATTTAGGAGACCAGCTGTGTGTAACCTTGATCCAATTGGACTTTGTGCTTCATTTTTCCTATAATGGTGTGTGTGGGGGGGGGGGGGTACTGCTACCTATCTCCGTTAGACCATGTGATACCTCTTACCCATTTGTCTCATACACATGCTGATGTTCTCAGGCACTCACCTATAAGTGGCTGTTTTATTATAGGTGGAGTTTGTGGTACCATCCATAGTTAAGGTTGCCTGACACTTTGCATTATAAGATCCTGTTTTCAGTTGCTTATAACTTTGCCAAACTTTTACTGTTCAGGCTAAAATTGTCCATGCTGGGTGTGTGCCTCAGGCTAAATTTTTTTGGAAAGTTTTAGCTAAAATGATTCAGTGATTTCTGAGAATGAGGTTCAGGAAAAATTCCTTGTTTTACCCATGTTAAAATATTATTGCAACTGTCTTGTTAGGAAGCTCTGTTGCTCCATGCTTTAGCAGGATAGTTAAAATTCACTAAAATTTGGCCAATTTTGAGCCTCTGAAAAAACTGTTGGCACATGTTCAATAGAGCCTTGTTAGTTTGGCAGCAAAATTCTCCGAAGAGTCTGTACTGAGCATACTGCATCCCAGAGAGAGAGAGAGGGCGTAGGAGGAAGGCAGCCAGAGGGCACAAGGAAAGAAGGGTCTATAATCACTAGACTTCACATCCAGGAGCCCTGAGTTTCTGTTCCTCTGCTGTCAGCAAAGAACTGCAGAACTCACTGGCAAAGTCTCTGGCTCATTCCCTTCTAGTAGCTGGTCGGCACAGAGGATAACAGCCTGCTACTACTTCCAGTTACACTGTTAGCTCAAGTGGTAGAGGTCCCTTCTGCAGATCTAAAGGTTTGAAGCCTGCTGATGACTCAAGCTGGTGGTCAGTATGGTTCCGCATAATGGGATTTTTTTCAGGTTTTTTAAAAATTAGGAGATTGTAGCCTTAATCTTTTAACAATTTTTTTTAAATGCAGAGTCAAGCACTCAGGTTAGGAAATGGCAGAATTAAGGTTGCCTGTGTAACTGTATTTCACCCCCCTTGTGCATACCCACTGATAGTCTTTAATTACATAATCACGTACTAGTTTTTCTATGGGACCTCTGCCCCTTTCACTGTATAGGATGGATGGTGCCCTGGGAATGCAGCAGGGTTGTGTGTAATGAAGGAGACCGTTGTCTGTGGGACACTTGCCTTATTTGTTGTAGAGGTTGGAACGTGTGTAGTGAAAGAGAGGCAAGGTGGGTGAGGTAATATCTTTTATTGGACCAACTTCTGTTGGTGAGATAGACAAGCTTTTGAGCTACATAGCTCTCTCTCTCACCAACAGAAGTTGGTCCAGTAAAAGATATTACTTCACCCCCCTTGTCTCTCTCGTATCCTGGGACCAACACGACTACAACTACACTGTGTACATATAGTGAATGAGGCAGAGGATTGCAGGAGAAGAGAGGTGGTCCTATTGATAAGGAAATACAATCCATTTCTCCATGGTGATATTCCATCCCTGCCTCTGCCACAGATTTTCTGTGTGATGCTAGTCAAGTCACTTAAAACAAGCTTTTCACAGTTGCCCACTAATTGTGTGTTCCTCAACTTTCTGGATGCACAACATGAGACACCTAGAGCCAGATTTACAGAAGTGCTGAGAGCACACCACTGCAACTGAAACCAGCAATGAAATTTTTGTGGTGAGCAGTAAATTCCTTGAAAAATGCATTTTTTGGGGCACCGAAACTATTTGCAAATTTGGTGAATAGTTTTGGCAAAAAAAAAAAAAAAACCCTGAAGAAGAAACCTGGAACAGAATACAAAGTGTACAATGCTTACTTTATATTATTTTTATTACAAATATTTGCACTGTAAAAATGATAAGAAATAGTATTTTTCAATTCACCTCATACAAGTACTGTAGTGCAATCTTTGTTGTGAAAGTGTAACTTTCAAATGTAGATTTTTTTTTTGTTACATTGTTTTGTTTTTGAGTGCAGTTATGTAAAACTTTAGAGCCTACAAGACCACTGAGTCCTACTTCTTGTTCAGCCAATTGCTAAGACAAACAAGTTTGTTTACATTTATGGGAGATAATGCTGCCCACTTGTTATTTACAATGTCACCTGAAAGTGAGAACAGGTGTTCGCATGGCACTTTTGTAACCGGCGTTGCAAGGTATTTACGTGCCAGATATACTAAACATTCGTATCTCCCTTCATGCTTTGGTCACCATTTCAGAAGACATGCTTTCATGCTGATGATGCTTGTTAAAAAAAAAAAGTGTTAATTAAATTTGTGACTGAACTCCTTGGGGGAGAATTGTACGTCTCCTGTTCTGTTTTACCTACATTCTGCCATATATTTCATGTTATAGCAGTCTCTGATGATGACCCAGCACGTGTTCATTTTAAGAACGCTTTCACAGCAGATTTGACAAAACACAAAGAAGGTACCAATGTGAGATTTCTAAGGATAGATACAGCACTCAACCCAAGGTTTAAGAATCTGAAGTGCCTTCCAAAATCTGAGAGGGATGAGGTGTGGAGCATGCTTTCAGATGTCTTAAAAGCGCAACACTCCGATGTGGAAACTACAGAACTCGAACCACCAAAAAAGAAAATCAGCCTTCTGCTGGTGGCATCTGACTCATGATGATGAAAATGAACATGCATCGGTCTGCCCTGCTTTGGATTGTTATCGAGCAGAACCCATCATCCGCATGGGCACATATATTCTGGAAAGATGGTTGAAGCATGAAAGGACATATGAATCTTTAGCGCATCTGGCACATAAATATCTTGCAATGCCGGCTACAACAGTGCCATGCGAACACTTGTTCTCACTTTCAGGTGACCTTGTAAACAAGACGTGAGCAGCATTATCTCCTGCAAATGAAACCAAACTAGTTTGTCTGAGCGATTGGCTGAAGTAGGACTGAGTGGACTTATAGGTTCTAAAGTTTTACATCGTTTTATTTTTTAATGTAGTTATTTTTTGTACATAATTCTACATTTATAAGTTCAACTTTCATGATAAAGAGATTGCACTACAGTACTTATAGTAGGTGAATTGAAATAATTTTTTTACAGTGCAAATATTTGTAATTAAAAATAAAATATAAAGTGAGCACTGTACACTTTGTATTCTGTGTTGTAATTGAAATCAATGTATTTGAAAATGTAGAAAACATCCAAAAATATGTTAATAAATGATATTCTGTTATTGTTTAACATTGCGATTAATCTTTTTAATCGCGTGACGGCCCTAATGCTAAGTACTCTGGGAAATCAGGCCCTAGGTGTCTCACATTAGGTGCCTTAAATTATTGGACACTTTTGACAACTTTGGCCTTAATCTCTCTGCCTCATTTTCCAAAGTGTAAAATGGAAATAATGCCACCACCTTTTCTCACAGGGGTGTTGTGCAGATAAATTAATGTGACAGCCACACATTGAATGAGGACAATACAAAGTAATATTGAATACCCATTCACTGAACAAGGCAGGGGGAAAAATAGTATGTGATCATGTAATTAAAGACTATTGTAATGCATACACACAAGAATGCCAAATTAAGGTTGCACAGGTAACCTTAATTCTGACAATTCCTAACTCGGATGTTTGACTTTGCAGCCTTAATGTTCTTTTATTGGAGTTTTTTTAATGTAATTTGATATAGTCTCACCTGAGTACCTTCCAGTAGCACACTAAGCAAAGTGGGTGACATCTGTCACGTGTGGCTAAGGATGAGAATTGTGTGTGTGTAGTGTATCGTAGTGTTTAGATTCTGGTAGGGGGGTTTTGTGTGTACTCCCTGCTGTGTGTGTTGAAGGCAGTTCCAAGAAGTGTGCTCCGCACTTGGAGCGGAAGATGGTGAGGTTTGTGATGGTCCTTTGTCCCTGCGGGGGTTTGTTCCACAGTCTCGGCCGAACCCCCATTGTATCAGAGGCCTCTAAAACAACACCTGACCCATTTCACTGGTTCCTAGCAGTGCTTATACATCCATGAGTGAAGCCACTGATGCAGGTTCACTCCTAAGGCTGACTATTCAAATGAAATTTCTTGCCATGGTCTGGTTGCTACATCATCTTCCAAGGGTCCAGTCTTAATATATACTGACTATTAGTCTGCTTGCTTGTGAATTATCGTGCTTTAGTGAGTCTGTCGAACCAGGGAACTCTCTTGAGGGATCTCTCCTTGTTTCCTTTTATAGCGAGACAGAACAATTGGCCACCCTTTCCCAAGAAGTGTCCAATCAAGCCGTGTTTCTATCAGGACTTCTCTGCAGACATCCCAGCTGATTACCAGCGAATATGCAAGATGCTGTATTACTTGTGGATGTGTGAGTAAGCACCTATAACTGGCACAGTTGGGGAAATAGTGTTGTGGCTGTAAAATCCTGGTCCTCTGTTTTTTAAAGACCTATCTAAAAAAGACTCTAGTTTAACCCCAAGTTATTGGGCTTAATGCAGGTATTTCTAGATGAAATTCTATGGCCTGTGTTATGTAGGACTACATAATCATAATGGTCCCTTCTGGACTATAAAATCTATGAATCTGAAAGGATGGTGGATGTGTTTAACTATAATGCATCAGGTAACCCAAGCTATGCTCCCCTCTTGGTGTTTATCAGCCTGTCCACCTAAAGTAGTAATCATGTGGGATGTTGTAACCACATCCCCAGCAGCCAGTTAAGAAGAATTAAGACTTTAGGCTGGAGCAATAAGGAGCAGTATCAGATGGGACCCTTACAGTAAGATCCACCTTTCCATGCAGACGGCTCTCAACAGGGAAGGGAAATGCTGAAACTATGGCTCACGTGCTACCTAGTTTCTATAGACAATGTTGTGCATTGTGGTCCATGAGAGGGCAGTGATGCTTTGGCACTTTGTGGATTTTCCGAGAGATTGCTAATCTGTTTCCTTTCTTTCTCCCATCCTGAACAGTTCACTCAGTTACCCTGCTTCTAAACCTGCTTGCTTGCCTGGCATGGTTCACCGACAGCCCACAGAGAGGAGTAGACTTTGGTCTCTCAATTCTGTGGTTTATTTTGTTCACCCCTTGTGCTTTCCTCTGTTGGTATCGACCCATCTACAAGGCTTTCAGGCAAGTACCATTTTTCAGTTTAACAGGGATACAGCCGTTACTGGGAGGAAGTGCTGTTTAATCTGATCATCATGTGTTTGCCTGGGGGATTTTTCAAGTCTTCAGTACATTAGATAGACCAAAACCTCCCTTACAGACTGGATGTTGCAGGTATGTGCTGGTGGTGTGGAAGAGAGATTGCTCTTCTTTTACTCACTCTGATGAGCTTAGACTGGATAATCTTAATGGTCCCTTCTCACCTTAAAATCTACAACCTATCGAGATGGATGTAGTGAAAGATCATCTGACTGCGGCTAAATGTACCATATTAGATACAGTAGAAACCTAACATAACTGGGAAATCCCTGTCAATGAGACATTAACATAGATCCAGTGTCCAAACCCCAGCTGATTATTTGGTCCTAGTTACTATTCATGTTCAGAAAATTCTTGACAGTAGTAGCCCAGTAAAGCAGACTGGTTATATAACAAGTATTGAGGAAGTGGGCTTTACCATCATACATACCATACGGAATGAGTGAGTGCATATTGCAGCCACTGTGGTTGATAATTCTCTTGCTGCATGGCTTCCTCTTGGTGCCACAATCCCTACCCCTCATGCAATCTTCAGCTGGAGAAGGGTTAGTTGCAATTGTTACCCGTTTATTTACAAAATGCTTTTGTGATTTGTATCATGCGTCTGTCCTGGGTTTCACTCACCCCATCTCTCACCTTGCAGGTCTGACAGCTCCTTCAGCTTCTTTGTGTTCTTCTTCGTCTTTTTCTGCCAAATTGCAATCTACATCGTCCAGGCAGTCGGCATTCCTGGCTGGGGGGACAGGTAAGCATGACTTACTGCGTGTGCAATGCAGCCCTGAACTGGCACCTTCTCAACAAGACTGCAATTGTCTGAAGAGTTTCTGTTTTGTGCTTTTTGTTCTTAAAGCTGTCTGTTCTCTTCCATTTCTTTCTTGGTGCACGGCTTCTGCAGAGTTCAGCAGGGTGCCTTTCTCCACCACACGCCCTATTTTAGTCAAGTCAAAGGCATGCATCTCCTCTGCTGATATTGCCTGACAGTTTCCAACCACTCCTTACTGTGCTGTCTCCTGTTCTCTTTATTTCTAAATGTCTTTCTATGCCTATTTGGTGCCACATCTTCAATGAAGACTTTGTCTGGCTACTCTCTAAAAAGCCACGTAGCCTGCTCTGGTGGAGGCGATGTTCTACAGATCAGTATGTGCTAATAATCTAAAGACTGGGTACCAGAATCCATCTGTTCGCAGTTCTGATCCCCTGTAAAATGAGAGAAGGGCTAATGTAATGCTCATCTTTAAAAAAGGGAAGGAGGAGGATCCGGGGAACTACAGGCCAGTTAGTCTCACCTCAGTCCCTGTAAAAATCATGGAGCAGGTCCTCAAGGAATCAATTCTGAAGCACTTAGAGGAGAGGAAAGTGATCAGGAACAGTCAGCATGGATTCACCAAGGGCAAGTCATGCCTGACTAACCTAATTGCCTTCTATGACGAGATAACTGGCTCTGTGGATGAGGGGAAAGCAGTGGACGTGTTATTCCTTGACTTTAGCAAAGCATTTGATACGGTCTCCCACAGTATTCTTGCCGGCAAGTTAAAAAAGTATGGGCTGGATGAATGGACTATAAGGTGGATAGATCATCAGGCTCAACGGGTAGTGATCAATGGCTCCATGTCTAGTTGGCAGCCGGTATCAAGCGGAGTGCCCCAAGGGTCGGTCCTGGGGCCGGTTTTGTTCAGTATTTTCATTAATGATCTGGAGGATGGCGTGGACTGCACCCTCAGCAAATTTGCAGATGACACTAAGCTGGGAGGAGTGGTAGATACGCTGGAGGGTAGGGATAGGATACAGAGGGACCTAGACAAATTAGAAGGCTGGGCCAAAAGAAATCTGATGAGGTTCAACAAGGGCAAGTGCAGAGTCCTGCACTTAGGACGGAAGAATCCCATGCACTGCTACAGACTAGAGACTGAATGGCTAGGCAGCAGTTCTGCAGAAAAGGACCTAGAGGTTACAATGGATGAGAAGCTGGATATGAGTCGACAGTGTGCCCTTGTTGCCAAGAAGGCTAACGGCATTTTGGGCTGTATAAGTAGGGGCATTGCCAGCAGATTGAGAGACGTGATCATTCCCCTCTATTCAACATTGGTGAGGCCTCATCTGGGGTACTGTGTCCAGTTTTGGGCCCCACACTACAAGAAGGATGTGGAAAAATTGGAAAGAGTCCAGCAGAGGGCAACAAAAATGATTAGGGGGGCTGGAGCACATGACTTATGAGGAGAGGCTGAGGGAACTGGGATTGTTTCTTCTGCAGAAGAGAAGAATGAGGGGGGATTTGATAGCTGCTTTCAACTACCTGAAAGGGGGTTCCAAAGAGGATAGATCTCGACTGTTCTCAGTGGTAGCAGAGTACAGAACAAGGAGTAATGGTCTCAAGTTGCAGCGGGGGAGGTTTAGGTTGGATATTAGGAACAACTTTTTCACTAGGAGAGTGGTGAAACACTGGAATGGGTTTCCTAGGGAGGTGGTGGAATCTCCTTCCTTAAAGGTTTTTAAGGTCAGGCTTGACAAAGCCCTGGCTGGGATGATTTAGTTGGGAATTGGTCCTCCTTTGAGCAGGGGGTTGAACTAGATGACCTCCTGAGGTCCCTTCCAACCCTGATATTCTATGATTCTTAGTGTGTTGGCTGCAAATTCAACTGAGACAGAAGTGGGTTATTTTTTATTCCAGCTTCGCCCCCCCTCCCCCCCTGCCCAGTATTCTTCGCATTATGCATGTGAAGAATAGTGAAAAGGTCAGAGCTGGGAGTTTAGTTGTGGGGGCACCTTCAGGTGACAACTGCCGTGAAACCACAGTCTGATTTTGCCCACAGCCTGGAGAATGGCTCCTGGGCAAAGTAATCCCTCCCTCTCCTGGTTCTTTGACCCTGTTGCTGCCTTTTGAGTCAGTCGGAGCTCCATTTTTAGTCTGACTTGGGCAAGCACTCTGGTTCCCAAGAACATATTGATCTGTAGAGAAAGTTGCTCCCAAGCAGACAGTATTTTCATCAGTGGCTAAATAGTGTGATTTGTGTTCAGTGCTAGTTAAACACAGTGGAAAATACACAGCTAATGAAACACATCAGATATTTCCTTCTCGCGAATCACTTCTCAGTCTCCTTTGGCAAAAGATGATCTAGTTTATTTAGCAGTTAAAAATTAAATGCCCTTTTCTAATGCTGAGAGGAGGACCTTTGTCCAAATAGATAACTCTGGATTCTAGCTAGGTGTCTTGGTAGTCCTAGCCCTTTGCACTTTATCAGGGATATGGCCGTAAGGAACTCTAGGGATTAATCTCAGGAACTGGCATCTACTAAGGAGCTTTTTATCCAGCTCTTGCGCTGTGCTCCTTCATCCTATTTTCTTTGTTTCTTCCACTCCTCACCAATATTTCCCCAGCCTTGCAAGACTCTCATGAAAATACTGGCCCAGGCTAGAAATCTACTTGCTTGTTCTTTCCCATGATGATAAGCTGGCGAGTAGAAGTTTACCAGAATGCTTTATCCATAAAGGTGTTTCAGGTGTTTTTGAAGGTCCCAAGTGCTTTGATTCATGCATGACAGCAGAGCCAGACTAGTGTGGGGGCTCTAACCATATGCGGAGGATATCTGAGGCAGGCCAGGTTAGCATAATGCTCTGTGCAGGTGTCAAAGAGGCTGCTTCTGAAAATGAGTGAGTCAGAATTGCTAGAAACAAGTGCTCCAGCTGCGTTCTGGGCCTCAAGTCGTATAATGTTAACTCTCTGGAGTTGGATTTTGTACGTTTGTGACCGTGGCCCTGTGATTCTCCTCCTTTCCCAAGTCCATGGTGCTTTTTCCCATTCCTCTCCAGCTAGCAACCATTTGTGTGTGTGTGTTCCACATTGGGTTTACTTTTAGGGTATGTCTACACAGCAGTGTAAACCCGGGCTCAAGCCTAACCCCCCCTTGCGTCCACACACCAATTGTGCTAATTTAGGGCTTGGACCTAAGGTCCCAGGACCCTGCAGGGCTGGAGGGTCCAAGCCCATGTTAAGCTGGGACCTAGGGTCTGAGCCCTATTGCTTTCCTGTGCGCACGCAGCCCCGTCTTGACTTGGGTCCCAGAAGTTCTCCAGACATATCCCAGAGTTCCCGGCGACAGAGGAGTGGCAGTGCAGGCAGCCAGCGCAGCAGCCAGAAGCGCCATTACTGCCTAGCTGAGTGTGCTCTCTGATCCTGATATGGCTCCTCGCTGGTGCACGGACATTGCCAGGAGCAGGGAGCAAAGCTGACAAGTGGGTGGCAGCTCCCAGCTGCCAGGATGTTGGGGGTCATCCCCCCCCCAGCCATGCTGAGCCAGGAGCTCTGCCGCTCCCCTCTGTGCAGGCAGCTGCTTGGTCCCACTGCACTCTCTGTCCCTTGCTCCCAGGCCCCCCCATCACACCTGGGATGCATTCACGGTGAATGCAGTGAGTGGGAGCCAGCCCCCAAACTTCCCCCCAAGGGAACCCTTATCCTTGCCTCCTGGGGCATGGTTGGGGCAGGGATAAGGGATCCCCAGGGCTGCTGGAGCACATTGCACTCCAAGCCCTAGGGATGCACTTCACTGCTCCGCAGCCAGCAGCGGGGGGGGCATGTTTTTCCTCTGAAACCTACATTTTATGTCAAACTTCAAAACAAATAAAACCAACCAGCCAAAGACACCCTTCATTGAACAGCCCATTTTAAAAGTTAAGAATTGCAAAGTTTCAGTTTAATAGTTTGACAGCCCTGGAACCTGATGTCCTAATTATCCTCAGAACAGTGGCACCTGGGGATTTTTCCGCCACTGTGACTCAGCCTAGAGCCCACTTCTCAGATTCGATGGTAGTTCAGTATAAAGCCTTCTCACACTGCAGTCATTCTACTGAGAGGAGCTAATTATGAGCTGATGTACTTGTGCTCCTTATGGGCAACTGAGTCCCATCAATAGCAACACCACAATTAGGAAACAGGGTGGGCAGTAGAGTTCCCACAATGCACCACCTTTCTAGGGCTAGAATGTCGACATGGGGGTGGGGGCTAGGCACCCTGGGGTAGGGTTACTTTGACTCGGGTCCGTGCACTGCAGTGTGGATGCCAGAGCCCTAGGTTTGAGCATGGGTCTGAAAATCCTTAACCTAGGGTGAAAATGCAGTGTAGACACCGAAGCCCATGGTTCCCTGACACAGGTCAGCTGACTCGAGTCCCACTAACCCTAGGCTTACATTGCTGTATAGACATACCCATACTGCACTGTGAGAAGGGAACTGCACAAGGGAATGGGAAGGCACCTCAGTGATCCTTTTCAAAGCTAGTCTAGCATCTAGAATGGGTAACTTCCTGCATGAGACTAAATTCAGTAAGGAACTTTTCCTGTGGTCTGATATTCCTGCAGCAGCTCCACTTGGCTGCATGTCCTCTATGGTCCCTCAGTCCTCTTGTCATCAAATAACCCGAGTAACCTAGGGCTCTCCCAGAGTCTTGTCTATTCTCTTGTCCCTGTGTATACCTGATACTCTTCATGTGATGAGCCCTCTTTCTTACAGTGGTTGGATTGCAGCTCTGGACGAGACACGAAGAAACTGGGCTGTGGCCATAATCATGATGGTGGTGGCCGCATTCTTCACGCTGTGTGCTGTCCTCTCACTCTTCCTCCTAAAGCGGGTAAGTTACTGAAAGACAAGAGCAGCTCCAACTTAGATCCTGCATCCTAGGGCAATTCACCACCAGTAGCAAAGTATTTGCAGGTATTGAATCATAGTCTCTTCTAGAGTTTTGTGGTTCGTAACCAGCTTAGTATCGAAGGAAGGATGAAAGTAGCAAGTTTGTCAAGAGCTTTTGGAAAGCATGTTTTCCTGTTCCTCCTCCTGGATTTGTACAAAGTCCCTCGCAAGAAGCTGTGATGGAAACATAAGTAATCATGTGGATGGGAAACTAGATAAGAGACTGAAAACGGAATAGGTGGTCTGTTTTCTATACGGCAAAAGGTTACCAGGGAGGGGAGGCCCCCACAAGACCAGCATTTAATATCTAGAAAAGCAGGGAAAGCAGTGAGGTGGCAAGATTTGCAGATGCCATTTAGGTGAATTGAGACTAGAACAGATTGTCAGGAAGTCCAAAGGGACCCAGACACAGTAGGAGACTGGGTACCATGAGGGCAGATGAAATTCAGCATTGACAAATGCAGGGAAGTGAAACTGCCAGGAATCGCATGAACTGGTCTTAGACATTGTTGGGTTCTAGATTAATTGTAACCACTTGGGAAAGCTTGGGCTTCATTGGGGATGGGTCACTGAAGGCCTGTACTCAGTCAAAAAAGCAAACGATGCCCTGATGCATAAAGCATAGGAAAGAAAAGAACATCGGTAGGATCCTGCCACTCTGTGAATGAGGTAAATGGTCCAGTCTGGCCTGCAGTACTGTGCCTGGCTCGGTACAGCAGGAGGTGGAAAAGATTACAGCTATGCAAGAGACTTCCATACCAAGAGTCAGTGAAAAGATAGGGACTGGTTAGTCTAAAGAGGGGATGTGGTAGAGGTAGACAAAACAATGAATGGGCTAGAGAACAGAAATCTTATCTCTCTCTGATCACACTTTTTATCCAGTGCATAATTGACCTGTTCACTGTCCCAAGATCTCAATGGGGCCAAGAGCTAAGCAGAATTTCAGAAAAGATCAAATGCTTACATGGATCGTGAGAACAGCCACAGTTACACTAGATAGGCTAAAATATATAAGGGCTGTGAATCTTCGGGGAATGCGCCACTTGTTAGCTTCTTCCTAGCCCATCAGTTATGGGCACATTATTCCCTAATTACCCATCATGAAGCTTCTTGGACCTTCCCCTGAAGCATTTGGTCTTGGCCAGTTTTGGAGATGGGACACTGGGCTGACCTGGGAAAGTAATTCTTACATTCTTCTGCCAAATACTTCAAAATCATCACCACCACATGGTGACCATTTAAACTATACCATGGTCTGCCCCCTGCAGCCACGAACCAGTTTCCCACCCTCTACAGCCTGCTGTCCGGAAAACACATCTACCTCCTGCTGTCCCAACTTTGTTCCAAACATGCCCCACCTGCCTTCCTCCTGCAGTGTCTGGATGAAAGTTTGCCAGATATCAAAGGCAACTGGGGCATCTTGGAGGTGGGGGGTCGGGGGGGAGCGAGTGAATTCCATAATCGCCGCCTCCTTGAGTTCTAAATGACTCCTGGGATGATGTCTGCCTCTGTGACACCAAGTACCAGCATATCCAGGTCTCTTGTGTGACAGTGTTCAGGGGTCAGGCTTACATGCCATTCTTCAGTTGCATGGAGGTCCCTGGTTATTCATCCTCCGCTGAGTTGAGTGCTCTAACTTGTAATGTGTGAGGATCTCCTCCTCCTCAATCTTCCACAGCTCGTGCTGGATGTGATTTGGCTGCCAGCCCCTTTTTTTGCTGGTGGCATCCCTTCATGCCTGCGAGGCTAGCTAGCTATGGAACTAGGGGGAGAGGGATTTGCTAGCTTCCTGTGTGCTGGCCGGAGGTCCTGGAGAATCCCATAGAGAGGTGGTGTTGGGGCGAAAGGGAGAGTCCTTTGGCTGACTGATTCTCTCTCCTTTCTCAGGTGCACTCTTTGTATCGCCGGACAGGAGCCAGTTTCCAAAGGGCCCAGGAAGAGTTCTCCCAAGGCATCCTCACCAACAGGAACTTCCAGAACGCAGCTGCCGGGGCCGCTTCTTCAGCTGCACAGGGCGCTTTCCGGGGAAACTAGCCCTTCCCATGGGCGCCACCACCGTGCCCCCTTCCCCTTCCTTTTTCATCACAACCTGATCTTAAGATGCACTTTCCACGGCACCATGCTAACTCCATGACGCCGGCTGCGGAGATGAGAAGAGGTCTCCGTAGCTTCAGCTCGTCTGCATTTCTGGCGACTAGTTCTTCTTTCCTTGCTTTGGGCTGGGGGGCTAGGTAGGGAAATATTCTCTTAAATCAAATATAGCTCTCCTTATCCAGGACAGGTTTGACGTTTCTTTTACTACCTCTCCTGCTTGCCCGTGCTCCTGTGATAGAGAGAGGAATCTCGTCACTTTTTAGCAACTCTTCCACTGGGCTTTGCTCTGAAGGATTTATTTTGTAACTTACATGAGGTGGGTGTTAATAATAGGGGCGGAAGCTGCCCTTTGTTTGCAGCATCTATGCTAATTAGTTCTTGAACTCTTACTGCCTGGCTCCCATGGGGTCTGGTGAACATGTGGCATAAAGGGGGCTGTTGGGAAACTGCTCTTTGCCATCCCATCATGGTGCAAATCTCCCTCCCGCTTGTTTTTTCTCACCTTGGGGTGAGGGTCCTACCCAAGATTGTATTATGGAATCTTATTCCTGTAGCCCCCAGGAGCTTCATGGAGGGTTAATTAATGGAGTGCAGCCTTCACCATAGCCTTAAATCTTGTGGGGGGGTGGGGATAATCTCTGTACCTCACCAGAGACCAGCGGCTTCATGGGGGACTCCACAGAGTTGGGTGTGTGTCCCATGGGGTTTAGGATGCGGGGGGTGGGGGGGAGGGGGAGGGAGGATTGAGCCAGCAAACCAGTTTTGAGAGGAAGTGCTCTAGACTTTATACAGCTTGCTCAGCCCCTGGTGAGTGGGGTGCCGGGTTCAGAACACTACATATGCCTGCAGCTGGCCCTTCTTCTTCCCTGCCAGCTTGCTCTCCACATTTGAGAGGATCGTCCTACGGAGCTTTGTGATTCCAGGGGGCGCGTGGACTTTCTCCAGGGGGAATTCATAGGTTTCTCAAGAGAGAGGAGTCTTGGTTGCAGCATGTTCCTTTTTGAAAGCAGTGCCTGCACAAAGCCCTCTCGGGGGTGTTGCTGAAAGCACCTGCCACCTTATCTGGACTGCATGCCTCTGCTCAGGAGATAACCACCCCCCTACTCTGCCTCACTTAAGATCACACATCTGTTTTGCTGGGGATTGTGAGTGGCTGGATTTTGAGTCCATTTGTCTGGTTTTTGGTGACAGAGTTTGCTGTGTTTGACCTTGAGCAACTGGTAAGTTCCTGAGGGGCACTCCTGAGAGCCTTTTGGGGGGGGGGGGGTGTCTGCACTTTCTTTAGATTTGTGACTTTCACAGTGAAAAAAGTACCCGCTCTTCACCAGCTGCTTTCTCTCCCCCCTCTTGTTGGGTGTTGAATCTTTAGTATCCTGGTCTCACAAGCCCCTTTTCTAACAGGAAAAAGTGGGGGGAGGGCCACTTCACCAGCAGTCTGAAAAGGGATTAGGAGGGGGAAAGCAGGAGCGCTCCTGTACACTGAAGAAATCCAGGATCTCTGGGAAGGACGGGGAAAACGCCCTGAAAATAATGGTGGGATTATTTGCAAATTGCTTATAATTGATGATGGCAGCATTGGTGTGGCTATGCAATGCGGAAACTCCTCCCCAGACTCAGCCTTGATGCCGCTCTCTTTAGAGGCTACAGAAACTCTTCAGGGCTTGCTGAGTGCATCTGGCAGCTCCTAGTCTGAAGTGTGTTCAAAGTAATTATTCAGTCGGTCTAGAAAGGAGAAAAATGCCAGCCTCCAGCACCCTGAGATGTTTGCTCCCTTCTGTCGCTGTCATTGGTGCCCATGACACCCGGTCTGTTGAGAATTTTGCCCTTTCTGCAGACGGATTGAGTGGAGTTGGGGCAGAGGGGGGGAGTCTACTGTGGAATTGGGACCCTTGGGGGTTTACTTACATCCATATTTGATCTGGTTAACCAATCAAAACATAGTTAATTAATCCCTATTAGATATGGGCCAAGTCTGTTTGGTTTGTGGGCTCTGAGGAAGATGAAGGGCAGGGGAAAAACTGGGAGGAACAAAGTGCTTGATACCTTCATGTCAACAAAGGAGGGGTTAGTTTCCACGGTGTGTGTTATATGGAAAAAGTGACTGGGTCGTCGTTAACCACCCCCCTTCCAGCATAATGGCAGACCAGGTCTGTTTGAGCTGATCCAGTGCACCTGGTGAGGTTTCCTCTAGCCTCTCACTCTTTTGAATGTACATGATGATGGAAAAATTAAACTTTAAAATCCCCCCTTTCTGATGTATTTCCCCTTTTAATTTTTTTTGTGTAAAAATGTATATGTCAAGTCACTTTTGTGCTTAAATAAAAAACAAAATAAACCTAACCCCCCAACCTTTCTGGGAATCTCTGCTGGTTTGGAATGGCTCCCCTATGAGGAGAGATTAATAAGACTGGGACTTTTCAACCTGGAAAAGAGACAACTAAGAGGGATATGATAGAGGTCTATAACATCATGACTGGTATGGAGAAAGTAAATAAGGAAGTGTTATTTACTCATAACACAAGAACTAGGGGTCACCAAATGAACTTAATAGGCAGCAGGTTTAAAACAAACAAAAGGAAGTATTTCTTCACACAACGCACAGTCAACCTGTGGAACTCTGCCAGAGGATGTTGTGAAGGCCAAGACTATAACGGTTCAAAAAAGAACTAGATACGTTCATGGAGGATAGGTCCATCAATGGCTATTAGCCAGGATGGGCAGGGATGGTGGCCCTAGCCTCTGACAGAAGCTGGGAATGGGCGATGGGATGGATCACTTGATGATTACCTGTTCTGTTCATTCCCTCTGGGGCTCCTGCCATTGGCCACTGTCGGAAGACGGGATACTGGGCTAGATGGATCTTTGGTCTGACCCAATATGGCTGTTCTTATGTTTCAACTAAGTGATTGCACACGTCCATTCCATACGTTAGCCACAGAAGTCCAAGGCTAGCTCAGAGGAGAGCCATATGAAGATTCATCTGAAGCATGTTGCTGTCAGTGCTGTGCATTTTGGGTGCGCAGCTCTTTGGCACACTGGTCAGGTGGTGAGAATTGAAGTGGAAATGTTATTTTCACTGAGCCGGCTTGCAGAGAGCACAGTGGTGTCCGGGATCCATTGCGAATGAAGCCCTCCTCCCACTCTGTCCACATGTGCAATCTTGAGACTGCCTCTGCTGCGGAGTTTACCATGTTTAGGGAAGCCAAGTCCACTGTCAGGACAATAAAACCAAGGGCTTGTCTACACTTGGAAAATTATCAGAATAACTACTCCAGAATGAATGTTCTGTATGTATACAGCCCCTAGCACAAGGGGTCTCTGGTCTGTGAGTAGGGCTGCTAGGTGCTACGGTAATATAAATTGTCTGGAGTAGTTATTCGTAGCATGAACCCTCTAGTTTTGGTATTCATAGATTACAACCAAAAAGGGACCATTGTCATCTAGCCTGACCTGTGTTGCACAAGCCCCAGGACTTCCGTGAGTTAATTCCTGTCTTAACAAGTCTCAGGGAAAACTCCAGTCAGTGTTCACACAGGGCTTATACCAAAATAATTCCAGAATAGCTATTTCAGTAAACTTCCACGTGTAGACAAGCCCCGATTGTGCCCCCTTCACTTCAGCTTCACTGCATGGCATCTCCTGAGCCTCTGCTCTGACACCCCACGCTTCAAGCAATTCTGGCCTAATTAATGATGGCCAAAACGTGGCTCTGATGGTGACTTGGGTTCGCTGCATAACATTTCTGCCACATTAACCACCTCGGATGCACAAGGCTGCCCTCAATGTAGGAGCAAAAGGTATAAGTGGGTACGATGGTGTCTGGAGTGATGTTTTCCATCCCACAAAAAATGTTGAGGCTTGCAATTTTTTTCATCCCAATAGAAAGTGCAAAATCTTCATTTTGGGACTCAATCAAAACTTTTTGTTCTGAAACACCAACATGGGACATTTTGACAATTTTGAAACTTTGGGTTTTTTTCCTGAACAAAATATTGTCGATTGATACAAATTTGTGAACAATTTCAGTTTAATCAAACTGGCATGGACAAAAACAGTTCCGATGAAAACAGATCTAGCGTCTCTGCTCCTGAAGAAATATGCTGCTGCACTGAGTAGGTGTAGTGCTGTTTCTGCCACAATGGCCAAAGATCTCTAGAGCAGGGCTTCACCAACTGTAGTATGTGAGCTCCATGTTCCATCCATTCACTTCGCAATGATACTTTATGGTACGTCAAGCAATAAAGTTTGGGAGTCGCTGCTCTACAGTCCTATGCTCCAGGGCCTGGCTCCCTGGACGTTCCTTGACACCTGCCCAAAGTAAATGCAAAGTGCTGCCAAATCGATATGATGGCATGTAACGTCCATTTTGCGTGGGTAGAAATGGCCGTACAAGACGCATAGAGATGAAGAATCGGCCTGGTCTAAGGGAGCGAGAGCTCTCTTCCATCTAACCGTGGCATTGTGAGTGATGATCTGGTGTTGCCCCTATGGATACCGTGGCCTTGACCTCCCAAACTTCTACCCACCATCTTCCTCCTAGCTGAGGAATTGGTAAAAGGGAAGAGATGGGAGATTAAATCTATGCTAGTTAACCTGACCCTAAATTTAAAAGGAGAGGATGGAACTGGATCCTCCTCCTACTGACCCCACATAGAGGATTCAACTACTTAAGCTAAAAGAGGTTGCCATAGAGCATTTGATGGGAGCGTAATCTGCTCATCTTTAAATACATCTTCTGCTTACTTCTAAAAACTGCTTTAACAGTCACCTAGCAACATGGCAGATGAACTTAGTGTTCTTGATATTATTAGTCTGTGTCTAACAAGCCTATGAAAAATTAACTACTAGGAGATGTGAGGAAAACTTAAATTAGTCTCTCCATCTTCAGTGCTGAGGGGGAGGGGGCCAACCCTCTCATGCTGCAGTCCTCATGCCTTCAAGAGGGAGCAAGGGGGGGAGAGGTTAGGCAGCTTGGGGTATTGTTTCTTACAGGGGCATGGGTGCCTTGTCCTGGGATCCCTCTCCCAAAGAGTGGGGCTCAAGCTTGTTCTGTCTCTGCTCAGTTGTGAGCAGTGGATGCTCCATGACCCTTAGGGCCAGTCTCTGCAGTAGCTCTATGGCAGTGGTTCTTAACCTTTACTGCAGCCTGCATCCCTTTGGTTCTCAAAATATGTTCTTGCACCCCTTACACCTAGATATATTTTTTTGTTTGTATACTACAGTAATTGTTAAAAAATGTATAATGTTAATAAATACATAGGTTTGATTAAACAAAGTAGTTGTACCTGCGTGCCTGTGCTTAATTTGTGTTTTCAATGATTTACCTTCTAAACAAATCTGGCATGTCTCGCACTCCCGGGGGGGGAGGGGTGCACCCCAGGTTAAGAACCACTGGTCTATGATGTGTGTGTAAGGCTGGAAGGTGCTACCCACCCAACAGGACTGAGTAGAGAAGACGGCACCTTTTTGAAGGAAAGACGGAGAGCACAGATGCACAGGTGGGGTGCTGAGAGAAAGGAGCAAATACCGTGGCTCAATGCATTGCGTGCCATCCTTGCCAAGGGTACGAACGTAACCAGCTCTCATTGCTTTCATGCCCCTCCTGTTTCATTGCAGCGAGGGGCGGCTCCAGGCACCAGTGCAGCA